ACTACATGTTCGTCCCCACAACTGGGAAAGGAGAGTCCGGGACAGGAACTCTCACCCGCAAACTGATGCCCAGGTGAACTGGACCCCACCTGATAACAGACAAACTGTCTCTAGTTGTCTACCAGATCAAAATCAGCAAAGGCCAAAAAGAGCCAATTGTTAAATGGGTGCATCAAAACCAGGTCAAACTACACAAGGCGTTCAATAACTCCACAGGAGACAAAGATCTCACAAACTCAGACCTCGTGGGAAAAAAGGTCGTCCAAGCAGAAACTAAATAAGTCTAAGCTTAATTAAGTGTTAAGATAACAACTCAAACGCGATAACGTGATCGAATCTGACAATCAGAGTGAGTGACGCATTGAAACGTCGTTTTCTAGTTGCTTAATCACTACTTTTGTCGATGTTGAAATGTTGTTTTTCTAGTTGCTTGATCACTACTGTTGTCGATGTTGAAACATTGTTTATTTGGTTTTGGTATTGTTTCTGAACACCCCCAGCAAGAATGAATTTTGTGTGTATTTTAGTTAGAGACTATGAGGACTTTAACTATGCCAACATGCAGTTCATTTGTTAAACTTCAACCTTTGAGGAGTCAATGTAGATTAATGCTACCTTAAGTCCCATAACCTACATTGGTCTCACGACGCTCAAGCCGAACCTACTCAAACAATCTTATTCGGGGGGGGGGGGGGGATTTTTTTGCATGAACACATAGAACCAGAATGGCATCCACTGGGAACCACCAGCAGCAACCTTCGCTGAAGGGACTTACAACTCCAACGTGGGTCTCCAAACTCCATCCAGTGGTTGTCTCTGCAATTCAATCGAGGGAACCCCTCTGCATGCTGATCAATCAACACCTCCAATCGTTGTGGATTTACCGTTGTGGATTATATGACTTTTTCCAATGGATTACAGACTTTGTTTCCAAGGGGTTAAAGCGTTGCTGCAATGGAATTACCAACAACATTGTAGAATTACCTGAACCGTTGTGGGATGCTTTGACTTTTGTTTTCCTCTTGCTGGATTACATCAAGATCAAGGACATTCGGAGGCGTAAGTTCATGTTGGAATTCATCCCCATGGACAGGCGATGATTTCCAAAGGGGGGACTGTAGTGAACTAGGCCTCCGACATCAATCTGTTTCTGAAGACCTTCAGGGGACAGGAACTGTTATTTCATTGATTTGAATCCAGAAATACAAATGATCTCATCAAGAGACTATTTAATTGTATCCTGAATTAATCAATTGAAAGAACACTCTTCTTTTTACATTATCAGTACTATTTTAAGATATCTTGATAATCAAAAAATGTGTTTAGTTCATACCATTTCTAAATGTTGAAGTGAACCACTCATTTAAATCAACTGTGAAACAGTATTAATGATTTTTAAACCTCATTAGATTTTTGATCATACAGTTAAATGCCTATTTACGAAGTAAGTGTGCATTTAGTCTTCTGTCTGAATGAGGAGTAGTAGTGGATGTCGGTCGAAAGTCAGAGACGAGTTATTAGAACGAAGTGTCTTGTTTTTGAAACTTGCAGACAGAAAATAAGAGCTATTGGCACCTGCTTCCTCTCACCTCTTAAAAACATTTCTCTGTCTGTACTAACCGTTCTTAAACATTCCGGCATCCTCTCTTGACTTCTAGTGACCCTCTGACATCACTAGAACCACACCCCTGCTGGTTGTTTCAACCAATCAGGAAGTACCACGTAACAGGAAGTGGATACCCCTTTTAAAGGCAACACTTCTTGGAACTATTCAGTCTTAGGGCTAAGTCTTCAGTCTTAGTCTTCACGAGTCTTCTTCGAAGTCTTTTCCAGTCTTGCTGGAACTTTCAGTCGGAGATGAGGCTCAACTAAGTAGCGGATGGATTTGACCATGTGCCAAAGGTCTCTCCAGTCCAGCGTAGTCACAGCCTGCCTCGGCTGTGACTCAACCCGAGCAGTAAATGCTCCACTTCTAAGGAAGCTTATTCGGTGGAACCGAGTACTTCGTCACGATTTCTGATGACCCTCAGCTACTCTAACCAGAGACACTGAAAAGGGAGCGTACTAATGGACTTCTGTTCCGGAGTGGAGGTATCCACCATCTCAGGTAACAAGCCGTTGATGTCCTGAAGTGTACCGGAGAGTTGAGCTAGATGTCGGAGGAAGAGTGCAATGTTCTGGTTCAACACATAACTTTCATCCTTAAATCTAAACTTACTCCTTAAATCTATTTCTCTTCTCTTTAAACTTCTATTAGCCAGTAAATCAAACTAGATGCCTTCAGAGATGAATCTGTCTCAATCAGTAATGTTCTGTTTTCTTGTTAGTAAAGCGTGCCAAGTTTATTAATCAGAAACAGATCAGCAAATCAATGTGTACATGTTTTGATGTTAAATTTTGATTCTGTTAAATAAATGACCGCATTTATTCTGATGGGTCAAAGATGAAATGGCATCTCATGTCACTGATTAAACAATCCACTCACAAGTTATCTCGGTCACAGAACAGAAATTTAACTCGAAAAAGAAAATAATCCGTTGTAATTAAACAATTAATATTCTTTGTGCTTGAACTAGCTTTAAGAATAATTAATTAGTAGTGAAGTTAACCCTTACATCACTACACGCTGGAGGGACTATGTTTCTCGGCTGGCCTGGGAATTCCTCGGGATTCCCCCGGAGGAGCTGGACCAAGTGGTTGGGGAGAGGGATGTCTGGGCCTCCCTACTTAGGCTGCTACCCCCCACGACCCGACCCCAGATAAGCGGAAGAAAATGGATGGATGGATGGAAGGAAATCGGGGCAGATAAATCGGCTGGCCGATTTATCGGTACACCCCTACTCTTATTGGTGTCATGATCTATCTCTGCTCCTCTTGTGATCCCCTTGTCTCCTACGAGTAAGTTTTGCTGCCACGTCAGCTCTTGTTTTGTAATCATTAACTAATATTCTACCCAGGGTTTGTGGCTGCAAAATAATCACGAATTATCAGCCCTCCATGACCATGCTGAGGGTTGCTATTAAGTCACCATTTTTGAGTGCAATGAGCTGGGTGATAATTTTCTATGTTCTCCCATTAGAAGTATCAAGTGTTCCCTCAACTGGAAACGTGAACGGGTCAGTGGTGAACTGGGGGCTTTGCCTTAGCACTATGCTTACTCTGGACAATCACCCAGCTGGCCTGGGGTCCCAGCTGCTCTGGATCTGTTGGAGGACTTCTAACAGGAGCTAGTCTCAGAGGCTTCTTGCTGCCTATGGGGACCTGGCTAGCTAATGATTTTACAACAGTGTGGAGACGAGCTTCCAGTTCAGACAGCCTCTTCAAAGCTACTATGATGCTACATGTATTACATGTACCATCATCACTAAAGGAGGCAGAGGAATAGCTAATCTGACACACAGAGCAAGTGAAAACAGAGGAAGCCGGGAGTGAACAAGAAGCCATGCTAACACAAGCAAGAGATAGCAGATCCCAAATACACTGAAAAAACCAGAAGAGGTGAAAGACTAAAGGCGTCTCAAGCACAGTCCAACAGCAGAATATCAACTGTATCGAGAGTGTTTGTGTACTACAATGTAGAACTGTGCAAAAGATCATTCACAGAACAAGATTAATGTGATTTGAGACGTCTCTCAGCAAAGATGGATTTCTTCTGTAAAACAATATCACTACTATATACAAGCAATGTGAGATGAACAATAAAAATGAAATACATCAAGAATGTTGTTGAGGTAACAGAAAAGTTACTCCAAATACCCTTATTTTGTCTTTGATCATGTTAAAACTACCTGGAATTTTCCATAATGGGTTATTTTTACCCTTTCCACTCAGTGGCTGTACAGCTTGCAAAGGGAAGTGGAGCACCCTTACTCCTAAACTGAATTTGTAACATAGCAGCTAGATGAAATAGCCAGGATTAACCAAGAGTATCAGAACATGACAAAGTATAATATGTGATATTTGTTTATTATGTAAAACTTTGAAGAATAAAAAGAGTATTTATTCCCAAAACGATAGGCAACCCTAACTCCACAGTTTCTTCTTCTTCTTTTTTTTGGCTTTTCCCTCTTCAGGGGTCATAACAGCAAGTCATCCTTCTCCATCTCACTCTGTCCTCTGCATCCTTTGTCCTCACTCCAACTACCTCCATGTCCTCTCTAATTAGATCCATATATCTCCTCTTTGGCCTTCCTCTTAGTCTTTTTCCTGTCAGCTGCATTTCTAACATCCTTCTACCAATATACCCACTGTCCCTCTTCTGGACATGTCCAAACCACTGTTCCTCCTCTGGACATGTCCAAACCACTGTCCCTCCTCTGGACATGTCCAAACCATCTCAGTGTGTCCTCCCTAACTTTATCTTCCAGTTGTTCAACCTGTGCTGTACCTCTGATGATCTCATTCCTGATCTTCTCCATCCTTGTCACTCCTGGAGAACCTCAACATCTTCATTTCTGTCACTTCCAGTTCTGTCTCCTGTCTTTTTGTCCATGTCTCTATCTCCAGACCATACAACATAGCTGGTCTCATCACTGTCTTGTAAACTTTTCTTTTAAACTTTGCTGACACACTTTGTCACAAATCACTCCTGAAACTTTTCTCCATCACTCCATCCTGCCTGGACTCTCTTTCACCTCTTTACCACACTCTCCATTTTCCTGGACAGTGGACCCCACTTCCTTGAAGTCCTGCACCTTTGTGGCTTCTGCTCCTTGTAGCCTCACTGTTCCACCTCCACCCTCTCATTCACACACATGGACTCTGTCTTAATACGGCTGACTTTCATTCCTCTTCTTTCACCTCTCCAAGTTCTCTTCCACCTGTTTCCGTTCTCACCACAGATCACGTAATCTGCAAACATCATAGTCTACACGTCCATAGTCCAGGTGTAAAGTTTACTACACATGAAAAAATGCTGTATTCTTTTTCAAAATGTTCCTGATATCTCTAGTGTCCCTGCTTCATCCTGAAGGAATTACTCTTTTTTTTTTTTCTCCCAGCACCATCTCATCAGCTTTTAATTCCTTGGCAACAGTAACTATGGAGGACCTAATTAAACCTCATTTTCCAAATATGGCTGAAGCGAAAGCCATTCTTCTGTCCAAAGGGCTCGGTAAGACAAGTGGTTTATAAGAAGATAGAAAAAAAGGTTAAAAATTATGGTATTACTTTTTGTTGTTGTAAAGAAACTTTTCTGTGATTACTACCATGAAATAATAAATATACTATTAAATAGGATTTAGTGGACTTTAGTTTTAAACTTGTTGCCATTTTCCTTTGGTCTGTTTTTGTCCTACACGTCACAGCTTTGGCCTATGGTCTGGTGTGTCTGGCTATGGCCTACATTGCCTCAAAAATGGGATCTGTGCTGCAGGTAACTATTCCAAGCATTAAGACTTCACCAACACTCTGATGAACAGTAGCAGCTGCTTCTGTCATATGTTTCAGCTCAAGATCAAAGTTCCTCCACTTACACATTAGAGCTGTTTGGCCTGCAGAGTTTATTTCCTCTGATAGTTCATTTCATTTGGGCTGTTGAGAAAGCTTATCCAGACATGTTCAGGCTGCTGTTTAATATACCGTATTATTTTAAATTATTAGTGTTTAGCATATAACTTAGATTCTTATATACTGGTTCTTTTTATACTTTATATTTTTACTATTTTTGGATGTAACTGGGACCCTGAGTACACAATTTAATTCCACCTCATGTACCACGCACGTGATGCGAATGACAGTCAAGAACCTTGAACCTTGATATGGTTTACTTGGTGTGAAATGCCCAAACTATCCAGCAAACCAAGGAAAAGTGAGCATGTTCAAGTGTCGCTCTCCACCATTTTTTCTGTACTACTGCATTTGTTTTATATACACAGCAACATGCTGGATAGCCCGCTGCCTTGCCTTCTGCTGACACTGGGCTTTAGTGGTGTGCAGATCATTGCACAAGCCAATATAATCAATACCAGCTTTGGTGTGGTATTGGATCACTTTGTTTCTCTCCAACATTCCTAAATTGATGAGCTTGGTTTTCTTCTACATGCTTTTTTCCTTCATGGTCGGTGCTTGTTTTGGGCAGTGCTGCCCCAGTTGAGCAGCTGTTGTAAAGTTGTCCATGCACTTAGGTCTGCTTTCAAAAGTGCAGTGTGTAAGTGACCCAATCCAAATCAGAATCAGAATAAACTTTATTGGAATTGCACCGAGGTACAACGCAAATATGTACATACAGTCGTCCGAAAGATGGGCAGAGTGCACGAAGCTACAACTACAGGAGAGCGCGGCCATTTTATCCTTATCAGATAATAATCTTAGATATGAAAAGATGGAGAAACATGAGGGTAGATAGTGGTATTACAAAAAAAGATCTTTCACATCTTGTCTATCAGGACACGATTTGAGACATCAAAAAACTCTACCAGCAGCTCAATTAAAACATGATTACATGCATTTGACATCGAGGTGTTGAGATTTGTCCATGAGCTTTTTTTCAGATCAGCCAGCAGTTCTGATAAGCCTGCACAGAGAGTTCTCGGGGGGTGGGGGGGTGGGGGGGTGCGATAGATGAAGCTTTTGTCCTTGGGTACTCATGTCCCAGGAGAAATTTGATAGTCAGCCTGTCTCCGAGGCCATTGGGAGTCAGATTAGATAAGCTTAATATTTGTTTTTCTTCAGGCAGACTGATTACTTTTTTCTTCAGCCTTGAGTCCATCTGGGCGTTCTGTTTCCGAAAATGCCTAATTGTGGGATTCCATTCCACTGATCCATGCTATGAGTCTCCTTCAAGGTCGAACCCACCACGCTGACGAGTCCCAGAAGCTGCAGGTGGTCTGCGATTCTCAATCGCCTCCACCTTACGGTTAACCTCGTAAACCAGATGATTTAAAGTTCCCACATCGAGGACCAGACCTTCACACTGACTCGGAAACTTTTCCATGGCCGAAACTGCTCCTGATGTCTTCTTCAAAAGTCGATAAAACAGAGCCCCGCCGATGCCAAAAAGCAGAGTCCCTGCTATCATAAATCCAAATATGTAAACGTCTTGAACATCCTCCTGAGACAGAACTGTGATGCACATCAACTGCCACACTCCCCACGAATCCATGACGTGCCCCACAGCGTGAGTCTCAGCTGGACACGCAGGTTCTCCAGGACCTTGTCGTTTTGATGAAAAAATCTTATCAATAGAGTTGAACGCCCACGATACCAAATCCATAATCTTCTTAATTTATGTTCGGGAGATGAGACCCAGGCGCTTCAGACAGACAGAGAGCAGAGCAGGAGGAAGGAAAAATATGGGGGAGGAGAAAACAGAAGCTGCCACCTCGATGAGAACCTGGGAGGAAATCAATCAATCAATCAAACTTTATTTATAGAGCCCTTTCCAGCAGCCAAAAGGTGCACAAAGTGCTGCACAAATGACTGTGATTTAAAAAAAACAACATTTTCCACCTAATCTGACGATCGTGGTGTGAAAGCACCATTAAAAGCCTTCATTGTGTTGCTCTACCTGACACCCACAGGCAGCCTTCAGTATCTTTGGAATGGTGGGGGGACCTCTGCTGGGACTCTTCTGCCTGGGAATGTTTTTCCCGTGGGCGAACCCCATTGTGAGTTCTGCAATAAGACTCTTCTTTTAATAAAATAGTGTTTAAAAAGGAAAGTTGATCATTGTCTCTGTTAATTTGTTTTGTCACTGTCCGCCCTGCCACTCTCAGGGTGCAGTAACTGGGTTAGCAGCAGGACTTGCCATGGCTTTCTGGATTGGGATTGGCAGCTTCATAATGCGCATGTCTGGTTCCACGCCTGAACCCCTCCTCAACACCACCGCTCTGCCGCTGTTCGACAATATGACCTCTTCTGTTCTGACCTCAGTGGTCAGCAGCACCACAGCTAAGACAAGGTAACACTTCACAAACAAACCTTTCTGTTTTCATTCAAATATTATTTGTTCATCATTATCCATGGCTTCCCTTCTCTAGGCCGACAGGTGTTGAGGCGCTCTATTCTTTGTCCTACATGTGGTACAGTGCTCACAACTCTGCCACTGTGGTGGTGGTGGGGCTGCTGGTCAGTCTTCTAACAGGTATGGCTAACAAACATTACATTTTCCCATAATTCTGTCACCAGAACCTAAGAAAGTAACATTTATTTTGACTGTGTCATGTATCGCTGCAGACCAGTTCCAGGTTATAGATTATGTGATTGTTTTCTAGTTGTTGTTTTTTTTTACTGAGGTCCTACTAAGATTTGTAGACAGGCATATGTAAAGATGTCAAAAGTGTTTTTAAGCTACAATAATTATAGCAGTTCTGATTGTTCTCTTTCAGTTTTTTTGGATTCATAACCACGTAATGTCTTTATGTAGTCCAAATATCAATATTTAGCCCATTCACTCATTCAGCTCTATTTCTTATTTGTACGTTTTAAATTGTTGACTTAATAGTGTGAATGCTTTTAAACATTCACACTATTGTTTTCCTGTTTATATTTATTATTCCGACTTCTGTCCCTGTTCCGTACGGTTTTCTGACACGATTCTCGTCCAGCAGTTTTTAAGGAATTTCAGTAGTTTAGGTACCGTTCAGCTTGTTCAGCAGAAAGGTGCTATGACTTCAGATTATTTCTGCTAACTACAACATTCAGCTTGTAATGCTCCTTTCAGCTTATTACCGCAAGTTTCAGCTTTTTCTGCCATTTTGGCTACTATTTAGCTGTTTTTAATGCAAATCTTAGTTTTTTCAGCTAATTCCACATTTTTTGCAATAATTTAAACATTTTTCAGTTTAATTCAGCAAATATGTGCTGTCTTCTCTTCCTTCTGGTAATTTAAGCTTCTTTCAGATTTTTAGCTCATTTCAGCTGTTTTTGGATAAATGAAAGTTTTTCAGGGTAATTTTTCTACTTTCAACATAATTAACTTCTTTATGATAATTACAGCTTGTTATGCACCGTTCAGTTTTTTTCTGCTAGTTTCAACATTTTCTGGTATTTCAGCTAATATTTAGCTGTTTTATGCTAGTTTTAGCTTTTTCAGCTCATTCCACATTTTTAGCTCATTTCAGCTCTTTCTGCTTCCTTCTAGAAGTTTAAGCTTTTTTCTGCCTTTTCAGCTAATTTTCAGCTAGATTTAGCAAATTCTGTTTTTTTCTGATTTCTGCTTATTTAAAACTAATTCAGGAAATATATGTTCTTTCTGTGTTCTTCTGCTAATTTATTCTTGTTCTTCCATTTCAGCTACAATTCAGCCTGTTTTTTTATGTTTTTTTGTGGGGCGGCTGTGGCTGAGTGGTTAGAGCAGTCGTCCTTCAATGCAAG